CTGATCACTAGCTAGAAATATAAACCAAGTTAAGGCTTCTCCGAGAAGCCAAGTACTAATAATGAAGTTGGATATCACAAATCAGACTTAAGTTAGAGATATGTCCATAAAAGGAAAATTGCTAAATTTGTTGGTTTAAAATATTAAGAGTAAACTACTCATTTTGGTTACTAAAGGTCTTAAAGACTATTCCGCGGAGCCCCATCCAACAAAACATTGTTGTGAAACTCAAATAATTATCCTCTCTAATATTTCTTTTTTTTTCCCAAAGTTTCAGGCTAAATTAACGTTGGAAATGTTCACTTGTTGTGTAAAGTTTTTATAATGTCATACGGTCATTATCTTGGTAAATTCTACAGTAAGATTAACCTTATTATAAAGCTATAAATAAAAGTCATTAGATTTAGAGACTTTTATTTCAGTCATTGATCAATAAAAAAAATTACAACATGTTTACTTATCAAACAGGTTAAGAAAAAACTTAAGTAACCTTTAATAAACAAAAATAAAAAAATTAATTAAAAGCAAAAACTGACAAAGAAAGTAACAAAATTTTTATGAAAATTAATCATTTACATTTATATTTTTGAGCAAAAAAATTAACCATTCAGAATTTTTTAAATAAATATTATAATCAAAATTTACTTTAATAAATAATTATTTTAACTATAATTATTTTTAAATTTATTACTATTTATTTATAAATTAAAATTCACAAACCGTAAAATACTTTAAGCTCAATAAATAAAAATTTAAATGTTTAATTTTTACAAAAGTTATATTTATTTTGATTAGTTATGTTAAATTTCACACGTTTACATTAATATTTTGACATTACTTAATCCGCCTTTATAATTTTTCACATTAATTTTTACAACTTTACGTTAATGTTTTTCAACTACTAATTTTTGCTATAATTATTTTTATTTTTGCTATTATTCATTTAAAAGAAAAATTTTCTAATTGTTAAATATTTTAAACTCGAGAATATAAAATTAAATATTTAATTTTTCAAAAAATTATATTTCTTTGATCTAATTGAGTTATTACATTAATTAAATCTCATTGGTTTACATCAATATTTTGATATTGCTTGTTCCACCTACATAATTTTTAACGTTAATTCTTATTATGTCAATATTTCTCAACTACTAATTTTTACTATAATTATTTTTATCCATACTATTATTCATTTATAAATTAAAAATTGTAAACCATTAAATACTTTAAACTCAAAAATATAAATTTAAATATTTAAGTTTTTAAAAAATTATATTTATTTAACATTATTGACTTATTACATTAAATCTCATTTGTTTACGTCAATATTTTGATAATACTTGTTCTACTTTTATAATTTTTTATATTAATTTTTAAAGGTTTACGTCAAGGGTTTTTTCAGCGGTTACTTTTTACTGTAATTATTTTTATCTTTACTATTATTCCTTAAAAAATTGAAATTTGTTAACCGTTAATTACTTTAAACTCAAGAATATGAATTTAAATGTATAATTTTTAAAAGAATATGTTTATTTCATATAATTAATTTATTACATTAAATCTCAAATGTTCATGTCAATATTTGATGTTTATGTCAATATTTTGACAATACTTGTTCTTCTTTTATAATTTTTTGGGTAAAATATATAAAGTCTTTCAACTTTTAGTTATAATTCAATGCAAGTCCATTAGTTTTCAAAATGAACATCTAACCCTAAATGTGTAAACGACGTTAACACTTAAATATGAAATGTCTAAAATGCCTTCATTTTTTACTCTTTATTTGCTTTCGGTCGACCAACAACATTTACTTATCTTTATCAACCACCAGATTAATGCTCTTGTGAAGCGCCACGGTGGGTGCTCCTCATCCATTCAAACGGGAATGACCAATCAGCGAGTGGTTAGTTGGCGAAAGTAAGGTGGGATTTTTTTTTTGAAAAATTATAATTTTTTCATTTTTAAAATTAATAAAAGGTAAAATTATCCTTTCATTATTAATACATCATTAAATTAATGAAGTTGATTAACAGATGGACTTATCTGTTCAGCAGAGATATTTTTTTGGAGTTAAGTGTTTATTTTGAAAACTAATAAACCTATGTGGAATATGACTAAAAGTTGAGAGGTTATGTGTATTTTACCTTAATTTTTACTAGTTTACATCAAACTTTTTTAACTACTAATTTCCCTATAATTATTTTTATTTTTTTTATTATTCGTTTATAAATTATAATTCATAAACTGTTTAATACTTTTAGCTTGATATAAAAATATAAATTTTTTATTTTTAAAAAATTATATTTACTTGACATAATTGACTATTTACATTAAATCTCATATGTTTACGTCAATATTTTAACAATGTTTGTTTCACATTTATAATTTGTTACGTTAATTATTACAACTTTACATTAAAGTTTTTCAACTACTATGTATTATTGTAATTATTTTTTCCTTACTATTATTCATTTATCGGTTAAAATTTATAAACAATTAAACGCTTTAAACTTGAGAATATAGAGTTAAATGTTTAATTTTTAAAAAAATTATGTTTATTTGACATAATTCACTTATTACGTTAATATTTTGACAATATTTGTTTCACTTTTATAATTTTTTACTTTAATTCTTACGGTTTTATGTCAAGATTTTTCAATTATTAATTTTTACTATAATTATTTTTATCTTTACTATTATTCTTTTATAAATATTTTAAAATCAATAATATATATTTAAATTTTTAATTTTTTCAAAAAAATTATATTTATTTGACATAATTCACTTATTATGTTAAATCTCACATGTTTACGTTAATATTTTGACCAAACTTGCTCCAACTTTATAATTTTTTGTGTTAATTTTTAATACTTTATGTCAAGATTTTTTAATTACTAATTTTCACTATAATTATCTTTATTCTTACTATTATTTCTTTATAAATTAAAATTTATAAATCATTAAATACTTTAAAATCAAGAATATAAATTTAAATGTTTATGTTTTCAAAAAGATTTATGTTTATTTGACATAATTCACTTATTATGTTAAATAAACATAACATAATTTCTTGAAAAATTAAACATTTAAATTTATATTTTTGAGTTTAAAGCATTTAATGATTTATAAATTTTAATTTCTAAAAGAACAATAGCAAGGATAAAAATAATTATGGTGAAAATTAATAATTGAAAAAGCTTGACGTAAACTTTTAAGAATTAATGCAAAAAGTTATAAAGGTGGAGTAAGAGTAGTCAAAATATTAACGTAAATGTATGAGATTTAATTTAAAAAGTCAATTATCCCAAATAAACATAATTTTTTGTAAAAAATAAATATTTAAATTTATATTTTCAAGTTTAAAGTATTTAGCAGTTTGAAAATTTTAAGTTTGAAAGGAACAATAACAAGGATAAAAATAATATAGTGAAAATTAGTAATTGAAAAACTTTGATGTCAACTTGTAAGCATTAACGTAAAAAATTATAAAAATGGAACAAACATTATTAAAATATTAACATAAATATGTTAGATTTAACTTAACAAGTTAATTATGTCAAATAAGCATAATTTTTTGAAAAAGTAAAAATTTAGATTTATATTCTTGAGTTTAAAGTATTTAACGATTTATAAATTTTATTTTATAAAAAAATAATAGCAAGGATAAAAATAATAATAGTGAAAATTAGTAATTGAAAAATTTTGACATAAACCTGTGAGAATTAACGTAAAAAATTATAAAGGTGGAATAAGTATTGTTAAAATACTAACGTAAATGTATGAGATTTAATGTAATAAGTGAATTATGTTAAATAAATATAATTTTTTTAAAAATTATACATTTAAATTTTTAGTGTCGAGTTTAAAGTATTTAAAGTGTTACAAATTTTAATTTATAAATGAATAATAGTAAGATAAAATAATTATAGTGAAAATTAGTATTTAAAAAACCTTGACCTAAACCTATAAGAATTAACGTGAAAAATTATAAAGGTAGAATAAGTATTGTCAAAATATTAACATAAATATTTGAGATTTAACGTAACAAGTAAATTATGTCAAAATAAACATAATGTTTCTGAAAAAATAAACATTTATATTCTTGAGTTTAAACTATTTAATAATTTACAAATTTTAATTTATAAAGGAATAATAATAAAGATAAAAATAATTATAGTGAAAATTAATAGTTGAAAAACTTTGACGTAAATCTATAAGAATTAATGTAAAAATTTATAAAGGTTGAACAAACATTATCAAAATATTAGTATAAATGTGTGAGATTTAATGTAATAAGTGAATTATGTTAAAAAAAACATAACGTTTGGAAAAAATAAATATTTAAATTTGTATTATTGAGTTTAAAGTATTTAACAATTTATAAATTAAAATTTATAAAGGAATAATAATATGGATAAAAATAATTATAATGAAAATTAGTAGTTGAAAAACCTTAACAAAAACCTGTAAAATTAATAAAAATAGTTATAAAGGTGGAATAAGAATTGTCAAAATATTGACATAAATGTACAAGATTTAATGTAATAAGTAAATTATGTCAAATAAACATAGTTTTTTAAAAAAAACATTTAAATTTATATTCTTGAGTTTAATGTATTTAGCAATTTACAAATTTTAATTTATAAGGGAATAATAGTAAGGATAAAAATAATTATAGTGAAAATTAATAGTTAAAAAACTTTGATATAAAGTAGTAAGAATTAATGTAAAACATTATAGAGGTAGAACAAATATTGTCAACATATAGACATTAACATATGAGATTTAATGTAACAAGTCAATTACGTTAAATAAATAAATTTTTTTAAAAAATAAACATTTAAATTAATATTCTTTAGTTTAAAGTATTTAGCGATTTATAAATTTTAATTTA